GGGGGGGGTGGGGGGTATGAAGTGCTTTCCGAACGGATGTCAATATTTGAGATGAGGCGAGCGTAGGCTGACCCGTGATTACGAAAGCCTTGGCTGCCTTGTAAGATCAGCGATGGTCGGTGATAACCATCATCATTTTACGGCTATGTGTCGCATAAAAAAGTTAAGTTTGCGTGAAAATTTACACTGGAATTTGCCACCTGAAGTGGTAAATTTAATTTGCCTCTTGCCTTAAATGCCACATTAAACGCTTGACAGTTTAAGAATACTTTTAACAACGGCCTTTAGTCAGCCTTGTTTACTTACGGGCCAGTAAGCACAAAAATACTTATTTAACTTCTTCTTTTTACTCAAATACGTAATTATAACTAATTTTAGCCTATAATCAGGTTATACTAATTAACAATTAAGTCAGATAATTTTTACGATCTTACGATTTTATTACCTTCATCATTTGCTTGCGCTAAAAAATTCGCTCATCATTCTCTGAAAATTAATGGCACATGGTGATCCATATATATATATTTATAATATATATTTTTTTCCTTTAAGTACATGGAATAATTATTCGATGATTAGAAAATTTCTTAGTTATCCTATATTTATTTTCTGCATGTTTTCGCCCCTTAAAATTACTGTTTAACTTTACAATATAGTGTATAATGAGATTTACACGTTACAATTTTTCTTCTTACGAATGATGCAGAGTATAAATTTAATTAAACACTTATCTCTGTCGAGTGGCCATGAAATCATGCGGATGTATGCGATAATTCGCAAATGTCAGTTAGTTAGCTTCTCAAAACAGAAATCACATCAAATATCATAGAAATAAATTTTACCTCCAGTACTTTATTAAATCTACAATCTTCAATTAATATAAGACGAAAAGTGCATTTACATATAAATGATAAATACGCGCAACATTAATCAAATCATTGCGGATATCAAGGTGATCTTCTTCGTCAGCTGCTTGATCAGCTGAAGTGAGTTAAAAGATATCAGCCTTTCTTGCGTGATTTCACTTCGATAAAATGCTCGTGTACGCGGAAATCGAGTGAAAGTGAACTTGCCGCGAAATCACATAGTTTCGGCTGCCGTCTAGCTTTGCAATAAATTTTTACCAAATCGTATTTGAACGTGGCAGATATTATCATGTACATGTGTAATACTGACGTTCGATCGATCCTCAGCTTCGTCGATAAACTTTATTGCTTCGAACTGATATATTTTGTGTTTGATTTTTTTTTTTTTTTTTTTTTATTCTAATCTTATTTCTATTTAATCACGTTGTCACTTTCGTCGTTAGTTTTTGGTTGTACCTATAGAACTTGCCGGAATTTTATAAATATAGTGATAAACTTAGAGAGAAATTTTGTAAAGTATTTGATGTTTAATTTAATCGTTAGGCATTCACCGTATTTTTTAATTATTTGTAAAAAAATACTATTGACACGCGCGCACAAACACACACATATAGTTGAATTATAGATATTTTAGCATAAAGCATAAAAATACGTCGATGGCATATTAGCATATATAGCATTTTAATAAGAATATCATAAGATTAATAATTTTGAATGTTAAGATTGCTCGATATGCTGTATAATTGAAAGTATAAAGCAGAAATTCAATCATTAAATATACCAAGAAAAACAGGATTTTCATAAAGTAATTGATTATTTATCTATCAAACGAAACCTGATAAGATAAAAGACTAATAAGAATTTTAAATGAAATGAGGTAAACACACGTCTTAATTTATAAATATAATTGAGAATATCTTAGCTGCATTATACGAAAGATAAACGGTAGGCACTAACATGTTCCTTTGATCAAATCTCCATTGATCAGTCAGTGTATATACGCCGAGGACGAAGTTAAAGATTTTTTTCAAGGCATTCACACCTAATTTTAGGCTACTTTCTCCAGGAGAGTCATATCTTAGTTTGCTCGTCAATTAACCGCACTCCTTAAAATGCCTGAGCTTCAATTAAATCTTGTAACTCAGGAATTGTAACGCAGTAGAATTTTGGTATTTAATTAGAATACCATCAACAGGGTATTAAAATTTTATGGTTATTATTATTCTGATTATACGACAAAAGGAGTCGTAAAATTTACAATACGATTGTTTCAAACTTTTTCTTATTCGTATTAATTCATGCATGAATCAAGTTTACATTATAAACCAACATATAACTGATAATAAGCCCCTCGATCGACATTAATTTTATACTTTAAACAATGAATTAGTTATTTATCGAATAAAGCATGTTATATCGACACATTTGATTAAAGCAGACATAACTGTAAGAGTAGGCACCTTCGAATGAAAAATGTGAGATAAGATTTTTTCGCTAGTCACCGAGAGAATAACGTCGCCATGAAATTATAGTAGGCAATTTCGGAAAATGGCAGGCCAGGCAATACAATCGCCATCCCAGTTGTTCCTGCGCGCTAATAGCATTTACAAAGTATCGATCTCGCGCAACCGCGAATGAATTTTCCCCATTGTCATTTTCACACGTATTGGCAGGCTGATTCCCAAGTAATTTTGCGCAGTGCGTACGTGCGCGCAATCTTTACGGAAAATCAAACGGCTCATTAGCATCATCTAATCGGCAGAACACAATAACCCGCGGTATCGCCCAACACAAAGCCAGACATCATCATTCAATTCCTCCTCCTTTATCCTTCTCCTCCTTGTCGCCTACACGATATATCACCGCTCGGATGCTCGACCGAAAAGACGTCGTGGGTATATATAAGCTGGCTCCGGGTCAGCATTTTTCAAAGTTTCTTAAGCCGACTGCCGAGCAATCGAGTGCAATGTTGAAACTCCGGTCACTCGATGCTTTATTCCTCGAGGCTCTCGAATACTTGAATGGCTGCTTGTGTTCGCCGAGCTTTTACACGAGAATTTCGGTAAATACTGCTCGTTCGGTGTGCTGCTGCTACGCTTTACAAATTATCATATGCTCCGTTGAGAATATTTAGAAGCATGTTTGTTTACAGGAGCAATCATTTGTTATTTATAACATGATAGTAGTTTCAACAATGTTCTTTTACTTAAAAACCTAATGACGCCATACTAACGTATTTATGATAATAATGCATAGTATGGCATCGCGTTTGTAAACATCGCAGTCATAATTTAAAAAAAAAAAATAACTGAACTATTGTGCTATAGGCATTTTAAATATGTTTGAATATAAACATGATAACGAATCACTTAAATTAAAGTGAAATAGCTTTTAAAGTCTCTAAAAACCGACGAGTTTGAGAATCGCTGTTCTTACGACTCTCAGATTACCGTTGCTCTGAAAAATAATATTCTCCGTTGTAATCACTCGAAGGCATCACGAGAATCCGCAAAATGATTTCATTAGCTATTATGTTCTTAGGCAATTACGATTAAATGTGTTTACCGATATCGAAAAGTATTTTTCAAGTTAAAGTCATATATATATATATATATATATATAATATCGTAATTGTACAAAATCATTGTAATAATAAAAAACTTTTATAAGACATCGCTTATGTAAACTATGTTTATATGCTTTTATGTAAACTAATGGCTCATATGATCACTATAAGAACTTCGGGTTGTTTCTTCTAATATAATCGTATATCCAATTTTTTAAAATATTCTGATTGCGTTATTAATAATACTGTAGATATTCACTTCTTAAGAAACCTTTTTAGAATTTTTTTTTTTGTTTTTTTCTTGTTTTTTGCTTTTTGTTTTTTCGTTTGAGTAATAAAACAAAATGAAGCAACCTTAAAGTTCTTAAATTTCATGAATAATCTACAAGCACATAGCCAATTAAATTGAAAATCTTCTCCATATTTTTTATTACACAGTCTCTCTACTGCACGAAAGCTTCTAACTTTATTCGATGCCAAATTATAATTACTGATTCTTATTTTATTTCTTAAATTTCTTAAAATTTAACTTTAAGAAAGTTGATATTTTTTTTCGAGTTCAAATTCTCAAATACCTTAAAAACTAATATTATTTTAATTAATGTATTTCAATAAATAGCTAATTTAAATCAATCTATCATTATAAAAACTAGCCTATTTGATATTTTGAATTTTTTCAAATTGTAAGCTATATCTTACTATTATTTTTATTTACAATAATAATTTTTAAGTAATTGCGAAAACCATTCATACTTTTTAAATCGTAATTTAATACTCCAACTAAAATTTTCCAAGGATTAGTAAAGCTCTTTATTATTTTGTCATTATAAAAGCAAACATTACTAAAAATATGTATCACCTCATAATGTTCTTTTCTACTTCCTTTTAACGAATGTTACGGTTTCTCAGCTAAATGTACACAGATAATTGTATATAATACTTGAAAATATCCGTGATAGTTTCCTAATGAAATAACATTAACAATTTATCGGTCTATATATATATATATATATATATAAGTAATATGAAACATTTATGATCCTTTGAATGCGATAAGAATGAAGAAATTTATAATGATATGAAATCGGTTGAACTCTGATATCAGTGAAATTTGCAGGTCACCTTTGAATATTCTATCATCGTCTAGATTGTTATTCCAATTCTTTCGGTTGCCTACAGTCGTATTTTCTTCTAAAGATTTTTAATATCGTAAAAAGAAATTTTCGTAATAGATGGACAATTAGGTACTACTTTCGCTTTCAGTGTTTCATTTCATTGAAATAGTCGCGAACATTTATTGCTTTTCAATAAATTACAGTTTTATTGGGAACATAGCTTGGTCGTTTTCTAGAATCGCTTGTTATTTATTAGCGTTTATCATAATTAGAAAATGCAAGCATATATGTAACAAAATTAATCACAACGATACAATCCATTATAGAAAGCAATTAACCAT